CCCCCCCCCCGCGTGATTTTATAGCTGTAATTTGGGCCATCTTTCAGTCTAGATGCAGCGATTATGACTGGGGGGCGTTCTATTCGCGTGAAGACGGTAGCTGCATAGAATAATCTCGAAAGGGAGGGACGATTGTTTGACGGAGGGCAATTGATTGTGACAAGTCACAGCTTTGAACACAACCACAAGAAAAAAAAAATGGAAAAAAAGGGAAAAAAAGGAAAAAAAAGAAAAAGAAAAGGGAAAAGGCGAAAAAAAGGGAAAAAAAAGAACGAAAGAAAAAAGAAGAGGATTGATCTGCACGGCTGACAGTCACTTGGCTCACGCGGAGCTGATCATGCCGCTACCGTTAAGTTCTATGTGGCCCTGGCTCCTTTTTTTTTCCCCTGCAGTGATGGGTTCCTATGTGTTCCTATGTGGTTCTATAGGGGCGTCCGATGTGTAGGCTATTAATGACTAGCCTGTGTACTCTGTAGCACATGGTACCACATAGCAACGCACATAGAATCTTATATTACGTACTCTCTGGTACATCGTTCTTCCCCGGCTGTTATCACTTGGCCTGCAGGATTGAGGATCCATCGGTCTATTTTCCTGCCTGCAAGGGCTTGTCCTCTTTTTGAGGAGGTCCTACGGGTTCAAGTGCAAAGCATCCTCCACCCGCTTGCGGCCTTCTCCCTCCCCCCCCCCCCCCTAGACTGTCGGATTCACCTCCCCCAAAACCGTCGGATTTAACCCCCCCTAGATTGACGGATTTACCCCCCCCTCCTCTTTCTCCCCCCCAGTCCTCCTTAGACTGCTGGATTCACCACCCACACTCTGTAGTATTTACTGCACTGTCGGATTTACGGCACTGTGTGCATCAGTTTTCCGGCCGACCATGTTCAGGTCTTTGTTTTTTTTTCCTTTTTTTTTTAATTATACTGCAGATGAGAACAGCCCCCCTAAAAAAGAGAAGGAAAAAAAAAAACAGCCCCCTCACAAGTCACTCAGGGTATCCTGCCAACGGTGGCCCTTCCTCATCTCTCCCCTTTTCCACCTTTCGCGCTCCCCCTCCCGCCCCGGAGAAGAAAAAGGATTCCCATCCGACTCGAGGGACTTTATTTGAATCGCTGGACAGCTGACCCGTCGCATCAGCAGACCCAGCTCATCAGCTGATTACTGGACAGTTGATGATTACTGACGTTAGTGATGGACAGGTTTCCTCACCCGAATAAAACACCCTGTCATTATGGCCGCATCTGGTCTGGATGTTGCCCCAAATACAGCTATAATGACCGGGCGTTCTATTCGGGGGAAGGCGGGTATTTTCTTCAGTCCGGTTTTGTATGTGTAGTAGGTGCTTTGTCTGATCGAGATTGAACCGGACTCGTGAAATTTTTATGGGCGATTAGTCCGTACAATGCCCATCAGCATCATCGACAGCCAATTCCCCTGTGCGGTGATTTTCTAGACAGCTGATTACTGATTACACAGAGCTGATTACTACCATGTTCACCCATATGGAATGACCATTCAGTATACCTGTATCTGGACTGAAAGTTGCAGAAAACACAGCATTAACGATGCGGTGCTCTACTCGGCTGAAGACGGTAGACAGCTGATCACTGGACAGTGTACCTCTCGACAGTTGATTGCTGGACATCTGATCAGTCTCATCAAACCTGTATCTGTACTGAAAGTTGCAGAAAATACAGCTGATCGGTCTTATCAAACCTGTATCTGGACTGAAAGTAGCAGGCAGGTCTGATTACTGACGAGGATCGAGTTATACCTGTATGTGGACTGAAAGTTGCAGAAAATACAGCATTAAACCACTGGTGCCTTTGCCGAGTGGGAAAATAGCGGGCCTTGGGTGGGCCTCCAACCTCTTAGGAGACCGAAAATGGCCCATAATAAGAATGATGGCTGCCGATAAGAATTATCAATGGCAGCCGTCATCGGGTCTAGCTCCGACCTTGTCGCGAACAGCCCGTTTTCCCTAATTTCCCAACATTGGTGGAGGTATGAGTGCTTTATTCGGGTGAAGACGGTAGAGGGCTGATCACTGGACAGTTGATTGCTGGACAGCTGGTCGGTCTCATCAATCAGCAGCTGAGGCAGGTCTGATTACTGGACAGGACCCAATCACACCTGCATCTGGACGGAAAGTTGCAGAAAATACAGCATTAATGACTCGGTGCGCTAGTCGACTGAGGAAGACAGACAGCTGATCACTTCACAGTGTACCTCTCGACAGTTGATTGCTGGACAGCTGATCGGTCTCACCAATCAGCAGGCAGGTCTGATTACTGGACAGGACTTAATTACACCTGTATCTGGACG